GCTGACGGGATGCATTTCAAGTGGTCTAACCCACTAAAGACTCCCTCAAAACATAGGTAATGCTGGTTTGTTGTTTAGATAGCTACTTCATCAGTTATATTGGGAGCTGCTGGAATGAAGCTTTTACTTGAAAGAGAAGAAGATGTTTCAATTCATATGGTCACTGTGGATTTCAGACAAGTGATTTGAGACGATTCTGAGCCTGATGGGAGGAGAAGTTCAGAGTAACAGGGAAGGGGAAGGGTTTGTTGTGCACAATGGTGAGGGCTGGCTGATGGTCCTAAGGGGCTGATATAAAAAAACCAAATAAGAGCATATACTTAGAACATATTTTACTGTGTGGATCTGGGCAGATATATTCAATCCTGTGCCGATATCCTCCTTGAGGGGAGGCTGATCATTGACATGGTCTCAGTTTTAGGTCTGTCTCCTGCACCTAAGCAGATGGGTCACTTTATTCTTAATCTTTGGAAGAATATAATCGCTGTTCTTCCCCCATGAAGAAGAGGCCTCTCATCTCTTCAGATTATGGCACTGAACGTGGTTATGCTATCAGTAGCAAAGTATAAACACTCCAGCAAAGTACCGTTTAATACAAAAAATTAATTTCCTCCTTCTTTTGTTACGGTTGTGAGCACGTGCTTTTCTTTAGTGGGTGGTTCTCGAGTCTGATCCTGCTACTCTGCACCAAAAAACACCTCCATGCACAAGATCTGCTATAGGCCAAAAGAAGAACAGGGAGGGGGGCTTCTGCTAGTGCCTCCGTGAAGTCTTGGCAGGGCGTCACTGAGCGCCGGTCCCCGCGCTGCCGGCCAGCCAAGGTAAGCAGCGCACATGGGAGGAAAACAATGAGGACTGTTCAAGATGAGCTGGGTTGCTTTCCCTCCTGGGTCACCAAGCAGGTCTGGATCATCTGTTCTTTCCAATAAAATCAAATTGACAGGATTAAAAAAAGGTTAATCTTCTTTAAAATGGCAAACCTTGGAGATACATCTGGCGTTTCTCTCAAGATTCTTTTCTTTGGTGGCTCTTATGTTTCTTCCCATCTTCTCTTGGCACTTGGACTGCTGGATTTCCTGTGTTGGTTCATTAAAGGATTTAAAAAGCCGGAAGGTCAGAGGATTTCAAAAAGGAGCGAAGAATGAGGGCAGCTTTCTTGATAGCATATGAGCCCATCAGCTGGTTTTGTTGCTTTCCCCCAGGAAATGTAGGGTTGGGTGCTCACTAAGATGTCTCCAGCACCAGGCACGGCGAGTGGGGCTTGCACCAGTTGGGAAGCCCGGACTGTCAGATCCTGCAGTTGCTTCCTATCCTACATGTACGAGTTCACTCTGAGACGGTACCTGGCAAATATCACCTTTAGGCAGGCACCATATTTCTGTAACATCGCATTCCGGTAGCCTTTGGGAAGTCATTGCACTGAGACGTATTTTACCACCCTGCAATTTCTTATGACAATTTCTGTTGACCAAAAGATGCTGTAGAAGGAAATGCTGCTGCCTTGGTGTAACTCTGCCCCCAGGCCAGAGCCCTGGCCCTTCTGGAGCTGTTTTAGAGTAATTAAACCGAAGCTTATCTGTCTCCCTTCACAGAAAGGTGCTGGATATCATCTGGATTTGTTCTGGGTGGCCATTCTGATGATCGTGTGCTCCTTCATGGGTCTGCCCTGGTATGTTGCTGCTACCGTCATCTCCATTGCTCATATTGACAGCTTGAAGATGGAGACGGAAACTTCAGCCCCGGGAGAACAGCCCAAGTTTTTGGGAGTGAGGTATGTCAAACCAGAAAGGCTGTTATTGCATTGTTTACCTGCAGAGATGAGTTTATACTATAAATGGTCTTGCTTCGAGCAGCACACGTGCAGAGGTTCGGGGGGAATAGCTGTTAGATTTGCTGTAAATCCACAGATCAGCTGTGCTTCCTTTCAGCTGCTTTTTTTTTTGGCCGCAGAGGATATATCCAGGTAGGAGTTTATCTGGCGTAGCCCTTTAGCAAATACTCTTTCTTGAAAAGGAAGAAAACTTGTACTGCGTGCGTGCCTGTAGACAAGAGAGAGCCTGTGCAAACACATAGGAGGAAAGGAAAAGGAGGAAACTTCACACCAGAGCCGAGACCATTTCTCAGGCTGCTTTGGGCGCACGTGTTGAAGTCACCCCAAAATACACAAAGCTTTACAAAGTGTCCTCTAGTGCCCCTGAGGCACGGCAAAGTTGTCATGAAGAATTTCATGCTGCTTTCCTTCTATTTCCAAATGAGGCTGAGATTTAGCAGCGCAGGTCTCTGAGAATTCCTTGGACAAATCCCCCTGTAACTCCTCAAAAGATTATTTGGCCAGATCAGAAAGGCCAAACACAGTTTTCCAGTGTTTAAGAAAAGAGATAAATTTACTGCAGATTTCTTTATCCTGAAAATTAGACAGGCGTTCATTAAGAAACGTGATGGTAAAAAATGTAAACCTGTCATGCACAGAGCAGTCAGCTCTCCTTAATCAAGCAATTTTTTCTGTATTTAGTTGCCCTGATTAAGTGGTCTGAAGTGCTTTCAATAGGAGCACTTGTGGAAATCAGGCCACTTGTTCAGGCGACTAAATAGAAATTTAATGGCCTGGCTTGAAGTGCTCTGGAATATTATGGGCAAAAGTATTTTCGGACGTAGAGAGCGGCGGTGAGTTCTGATGAAGACACGTGTTCTGCGCCCTACGAATGTCCAACTGCTGGAGTACTATGACCAGGACTCAAAATGTACTAATCTGAGAGTGGAGAGCTAGTGATTTATTACCTATTTACATGCTATAAATACTACCGTGCGGGGAATTTGGATTGCTAGTTAACGGTTTCCAATGTTTAACGTGTAAACACAGGCTGTACTCAGTAGCAGTGCTCTGTTGATCCACAAACAGCGGAGCTAAGGCAGCGTGCCTAAACGGATCTGGTGCTTGGAAAAAGAGCTGTATGAGGCTTGGTCAGGATCGAGGTACCTGCTGGATGCCGTTGGCTTCTAATCGCCAGTCTGCTTTGAAAAATGTGGCTGCAGAAATGAGTTAAATAAAACAGAACGTTTGTTTCAGGACGGAAGAGACCTTTAAAGGTCCAAAGCCTGAGTTACCGGGCTTTATGTTGGTTTTGAGTACTCTGAGAAGGAGTGAAACCAGAGTGAAAGCTGAAGCCATCCTGCTCACCCAGTGATTTTGTTTCAGGGAGCAGAGAGTCACTGGGGTCATCGTTTTCATTCTGACCGGTGTGTCTGTCTTTATGGCTCCCATCCTGAAGGTAAGGGCATCGTCTTCTCTCCTTCCTTCTGCTCACACAGCCAAAGTAGAGCTGCGGGAACTGTCAGGCTGGTTTTATGCTACTATTAAAGCTCGTCATCAAAGTGTGAAAAAGGAGTTATTTGCGACAATTACTAGTGATGCAGTTTTGCAGTTTTCTGGAAGCTTAACTACAAACCTGTTGGGAGGGAAAGATAACGTGGTTGTAGCGAGCTAGATAGTATTAACAACGAAGTTCAGGGCTGGTGGTCTTGGGGTCTGTGATTTTATTGTTTTTAAGATTTTTCTTCCAGGTTTACATAAAGTTAAGGGTTATTTTTTTGGTTTGCACTCTTATACTTCTGCAGTGCTTGTGTTTTATGGACAATGTAGTGTGAATAAAGCTTGAGAAGCCACTGGTGGCATGATGGAAGGTGCGGTTGGCAGTGCCGTAGCCTCACTGTGTGGAAGACACGGGTTAACAGATGGACATGTAGTTTTAAAAGGACATTTGCCTTTATTTGAGTGTGCACAAATCATAACACGTACACCTGAAGAAAATCTCCATTTGGTGCTTACTTATAAACCCACTACGAGGAGGATTTTTTTGATGAATGTGCAGAACTGGTGGTATTGAGCAGAGCCTCCTGACGCGGTGTTAGTCCTTGGGTACAGTTTCAGCCAAAAATCTTGGGGACCGTTGCCACTGCCATAGCAGAGCTGAGCCCTGACAAGGCACACACCTCAGCAGAGCGAGGCTCCTCCAGCTTGTCTGGCTTTTTTCAAAAAGCCAGCACATCATTCAGATTTTCACTCTTTTAGGACACATCCTCCTAAAATAACACATCATTTATCGCTCAGAAGCGTCAGCAGGATGGAAAACATGTTTCTGGAGGAAGCAGTGCAGTTAAATATGATTTCTTAACCTCCTAATTTTTTTTTTCCTTGTGAGTTTAGCCAAGGCTCTGGGCAGATGTGCTGCTGATGTACCCTTTAATGTAGGCAGGTAGCTATTTTCTAAGACCTCAAATTCATTGGCACGTAGCTGCAGAGACACACATCCTTAGCGGATCATCAGGTTGTAGAATGAAATTGGAAAACCTGCTTATTTGTGTCTTGTGGAGGACACTGCCTTCTCTGGGAATGGTGTTTTAAGGGGTGCCAAGCGCAGGAATACTGTACCACAGGAGATCTAAGCTGCAAAGTCCTTCTTTGTGGAATTGCAGACCAATGGTACAAGCTGAAGACATCAAAACAGTAGCATAAGTGCTGGAACAGCTTCACCGTGCATTGAAACTCTGTGTCAGAGCAGAGTAGTGTCTGGAGGAGCGTTTCTGGAGAAAGCAAATGAGTTTTTGGTTGTGAGGAGGTTGGAAGGCAGTGGGGCCAAGAGGCACAGGTGGATATGAGGCTGAAGGGGAGGAGGCAGGCAGAGAGCAATGATGTCGCCTGCGTGTTAAGTGGAGAAAGTGGCTTTACAAAGTCAGCATGTGCCTAGTCTTGATTTCTGGCGTTGTTTTTACAGCTAGCAAATTTTTGTGTATTGGTAACAGCTTCCTCCTCTGCACAAACAGGCATTTTCATGCCTTTAATTTAATGCCTGATTGTATTAATTCTATTTGTTAGCTCATGTGACCTTTCCCTGCAAGATCTCTCTTCCCCTGTTCCGCTGGGGTCTATTATTTCCCCTGTTATTGCCTCATTCATCCATTATTTGCCTGTGCTTCCCCTAAGAACGCGTATGGGGAAGATCCTCTCGGGAGGACGCCTGAGGATAAATCAGCACGCTCCTCTCCCACGTGCCAGCAAGAAGTCCCTGGCAGGGTTTCAGGACCTTTAACAAACTCCGGTGGCAGGGTCTCCTGCTCGAAAGAGCTGCTTTGCTAAATGCATTTGCAGAACATTTAAGTCTTCTCATGCCAGCAGCAAATTGAACACTAACGATCCCAAATTCAATAAAAGAGGCAATCCGCAGAATAATCTCATCTTTGTTTTTTTTTGCGGGTTTTGCAGCGTTTCTGCTGGTTTTGAATGTCACCGATGTTTCTGCTCAGTTATGGCAGATCTCCACAGAAACATCCTGGGCCCTGCGAGGAGAATGACAGGCACTTTCCTATAAATACATTTTTAATTCTGTTGGCTAGCAGCAGGTTTGCTCAGAGTGCCTAAGCCAGCAACCCCAGAGTTAGGGAATACTTTGCCAAAATGAAGTCTTCCAAAATGAAAGCACCATTTGCTGCTCTGCAGGGTAATGTGCTGGACTTAGACCTAGGGATGATTTACAGGATTAATTATCGCGGAATGGTGAAATAATATTTGGACATTTTTTTGAAATAAAGAAATGAAGACATAGAAGGGAGGGGAGAAGGAGAGCAATTTAGATGAACTGGAGTGCTAAACTCTGAAAGCCTCCTACTCAACTTGCCGGAGGAGATATTACCACGTCTCGTCAGATCCCTCAGATCTGGTGAGGGCTTTGAATCCCTTGGACACGCACAACTCTGTGAGCCACACACTGGCTCCCCATCCCTTCCCGTGACAGCACGGGGTGATGGCAAGCTCAGGCTGCTGAAAAAAATGACGTTAGGCTTTCAATGCAGAATATCAACGCAGCTCCCCTGAGGAAGCAAATCCAATGGAAGGGCAAATTAGCAACCAGGAGGTGATAGGGAATGAGACTCAGGGAAGCTTCAGTTCTGGGTGGCACATGGCCTGGTGACTTCGGTGCTCACGCGCCCCAAGTGACGTGCATGCGCTGAGGGTCAAGGCACTGCCACAGACTCACTAAATAACAAATAATTTGTCAGGGAAGACGTCAAAATACTGAAAAATTGCTGTGTTAATTTGCCTCTGTCTTGAGTTAGGCACAAAGGTTGGAAGAGAGACACTTCTGCGCAGTGGTGCTGGCCTGCGAGCGTTGGCCAGGCCGTGGCTGCCGTTCAGTGGGCTCACGAAGCCGTTCTCGTCCTCCTTGGGTTCATCCGATCACACAAAGGCCCGTGTTCAGCTCCATGTGTGTGGTCCTGCTCGCGTCCCTTCACACCGGCTATTAGTTGTGGGGTCCAGGAGCTCGTCCTCCACCTTGGCAGCTGCCCGTCAGCTTTTGGTGTTCAGAGCTTCGTGCTTCAGGTCGGAGGAGAGGGATGCTCGTTCTGGGGTGTGGATGCACCTTCCTCGCTTCGTCCCTGACGGCAGAACGAGTGATGGAGCAATGGGCAGCGCTCGAGGGAGCAGAAATTGATGCCTGAAAGGACAGTTCCTGGCAGTGAAGGAACTCACACTTCTGTGTTTGTGAATTGTTATGGGTTAATGTGAGTGAGAGATGGAGCAGTCGGAGATCTGATTGACACTGCTGTCGTTGCTGAGGTGGGATACAAGAGAAGAGCTTTTCTGGATGGATTTGTGTGGCTTACTGAGCCAGATGTACCACACAGTCACGCTGCCCTTTTTTTCTTCTCTACCTTCTACTTCCAGTCTCACCAGAACCCAAGAGGTGAAAAGCTGTTTCCAGCTTCCCGCAGAACTTTTCCCATGCCTCTCCTTTACTTAACTCAGGCTTTGTGCTCTTTGCTTCTTGGAGAGGCCCAGTGAAGTGGGAGAGCCCAGAGCTGGAGAGCCCTCCAGCCACCACCCAAATGTTTGTGCGACTCTCACAAGACAACAGAAGGATTGCTCAGTTTATTGCGCTGCGTTGTCCCCACATAGGTGTGATTCGAGTAGAAGCATAATGTCCCTGCCACGTCTTAACGGTGCATCCGGGGAGGTTGTTCACTCTGTTTCTCCTTCTATTCCTCCCCGACAGTTCATCCCCATGCCTGTGCTCTACGGTGTCTTCCTCTACATGGGCGTCGCTTCGCTCAACGGTGTGCAGGTGAGTTCCTCTGACAGCCTGGAGCAGACCCCCGTGGAAAAGACCTCTGAGATCATCACATCCAGCCTATGACTCTTAACAGCATCGCAACGACTAGACCACAGCACTAAGAGCCACATCCAGCCTTTCCTTCAACACCTCCAGGGCCGGTGACTCCACCACTTGCCTGGGCAGTGCATCCCAGTGCCTGAGCACCCTCTCCATGAGGAAGGGCTTCCTGAGATCCAAAGACCACGTCCATTAACCCGCTTCCACACCCCTCCTGCCTTTCCCTGTCCTTCCCGAGAAGCCCCCGGGGAGCGCAGCAGCTGTTTACAAACATTGCCGCGGCTGCCTGACCCGAGGTGGGGACCAAAGGGGAACGATCCGCTCGGCTCAGCGGGAGGGCAGCCAAATCTGCGCCCTGTAAGCAACGGGAGGGGTGTTTGGTGAAGACCCAGGCGGGTCTGTTTTCCCCCTGGCCCCAGCTGGGTGATGCTGAGGGGCAGCATATGCTTGTAAAGGCCCCACAAAACGTGGGAGAGATCATTTCTGGACATTACTCCCCAGTGTTTACGAGGAGGAAAGTTGCTGTTTGTCGGGGAGGCGAAGCCAAGTCTCTTTCTTTGTGGTTGAGGAAGTATCCCGTAAGGAGCCTTCCTCGCAGCAGGGTGTCTGTAATTGTCCCTAGGAAGCTGGAAGTGGTTTTCGTGCTTTCTGGCACCCCATTAATTGTGGCCTTTCTTTTGAGCACTCAGTTGTGCTCTTAATGGGAAAAGACTGCCTGTTCCGTGAGCGCCATGGGAATTTCCTCGGGTTTTCTTTAAAACAGCCCCAGCTTTCATTCACGGGCATGGGATCCCTCTGGTCCCAGCAGCGGGCAGCCAGCCCGCCTTCGGCCAGGGGACAACGGGGGGTTTGTCATGGCTTCTGCTCTGGGGTTGGTTGTTCCAGAGGGGATTTCCCCTGCTTCTCGGCCCAGGTGGTCAGGGGAAGAGGCAGCTTGTTTTTCCCCCTGATCCAGGACGGGTTTTTTTTCTTTGATGAGAAATCACAATTTTGGTTTAACTCCCATCCGGGGCAAAGGACGCTGCCGGAAAAGCAGCTCTTCAGTTGGGTGCCTTTCTGTTCTCTGGTACCAGAGCACACAGAGTCCTGCTTCTCAAAGGCACCTCAAGGGTTTGCTTGGAGAAATGCTTCGCTCGTGTGTCTGTTTAGTTGCCAAATATAGTGTAGACCTAGAATCTTCACTTGAGACAATGGAGTGAACATGTTGAGCCCACTCTGCATTAAGCACCAGTCAGTCAGAATAGTGGAGCTCTGCTGGCTTTTCTCTTGGGGTTCTTTTCTTTAAGGAAAGCGAGTTGATTCAAGGTCACAGGTCATAGCGTCCTTTTGTGTGTGTCTCTCTTGTGTGTCCTGGGTTTCATTTAAATGTCCGTTTCTCCTCCCTTTCAGTTCATGGATCGTCTGAAGCTACTCTTGATGCCTCTAAAACACCAGCCGGACTTCATCTACCTGCGGCACGTCCCTCTGCGCAGGGTCCATCTCTTCACCTTCCTGCAGGTGGTGTGCCTGGCCCTCCTCTGGATCCTCAAGTCCACTGTGGCTGCTATCATATTCCCTGTCATGGTAGGTGACCTTGTCCTCCACGTCCCTCCCTTTCACAGCCACACGTGGTCACAGCCTCCGATAAACAAGGCAAATCCAACCTCTGCCTGTCAAATCCCTGGCTCGGGGCTCTGCCTCCATGCGTGGCACTGATGTAAAACTTGATGGGATCGGTGTTGCCGTGGCTGCCTTAACATAAATCCTCTGGAGGGAAACGAGCCTGGAAAGTTAATTTTTTCCCAGAAAGGTGTAGTTAGTGTTGACCGTTACTGCTGCCAAGGTTAGATTTGCCATGTTTTCTTCCTGAGCTGCATTAGAAAGTGAGAGGTGCATAGTTGTCTTTTTTTAGTCCACCCTAATTACTGTACAGAAAGTGTCTCCCTTGCTTTTAAGTAGCACAAATTGACAAAACCGAGAATGAGAGTCACTGCTAAGAGATGTTCCAAATGGAGGAAGAGGATTAGCTGGATCAAGAGCAAAAAAATCCTGTCTTTTTCCTTGAACTTGAGTAAGAAGATGATAATGATGATTCATGTGTTTCAGGTTGGAGGATGATACTTGAGTTTGTAGGATGCATGTCTTCTTTCTAATAATGAGAGTCACACTAAAATTTATTTTGGATTTTGAGAGAGAAAATGTTCACCACAGAAGAACTGTTCCTGACAGTAGTCAGTTGGTATTTGTACGTGGAGGAAGGGCAATAGTAAAACAGCTTTCTCTGCAGTTAGATTATTACTAGAGCTGTAGGCAACATTAGGCGTTTGCTTGGTTTTTCTTCAGTGTAAGTGTTAAGAATCGTAAAATGGTTTGGGTTGGAAGGGACCTCTTAGAGGTCATCGAGTTCAGCCCCCATGCAGTGGGCAAGGACATCCTTAATTAGGATCAGAGCCCAGTCCAACCTGGCCTGAATGTTTCCAGTGACAGCGCTTCTGCCACCTCTCTGGACAACCTGTGCCAGTGTTTCACCACCCTCTTTGTAAAAACAAATCTTCCTTATACGTAGTCTAAATCTACTGTCTTTTAGTTTAAAACCACTAGTCCTTGTCCTATCACAACAGGCCCTGCTGAAGGCTACAGCCTGTGACCGTGGATCCTAAATGAGGGAGGACGGAGTAGATCCGTGTCCACCTCTGTGCCTGATCCGTACCTCAGCCGGGACAATTGGGAGGAAGGTGGCCGTAAGGCCAAATGGATCGAACCTGGATCCAATGGGACCAGAGCTCCACGCCCAGAGATTCTGCCAGGTCTGGTCTCTCTGGCTTAAAGATGAGTCAGACTGCTGCAAAGTCTAAGCTTTACAAAACTCCTTTAAGAAATCTGGGCCTGGTGTCACCCAGTTTCAGGTTTACGGAAAAGGAAAATTTCAGTTGTGGGTGCAGTTATGAACCGCAGTGCTTATTTAAGGGAGAGAAGGAGGGAAAGCAGAAAACAGAACAAGGACAAGTGTTAGTCCTCTGTTGCCGGTGACATGAGGAGAGACAAGATGATGCAGATTAAGAAATCCTCCAAATGTTCATGCTGGGACACATGCTCAGATATAAAGGCATTAAAAATCAGCAGTTCCACTGGCACACCGTTAAATTGCATTTTCGTGGTCGTGTTGGTCTTCTGTTGAAAGCTGAATCTAAAATCTGGACACGCTTTCTCTTTGCCCATGATAGAATCCAAGTGAAGAAGTTTGTTGGAATGGTGCAAACTCAGTGAAGGAGCGGTCACAGCTTAGATGTAGATGGATCCGTTAACAAAACCTCGATTATTTGCACTCGTGAACAAAAAGGCTATGAACTTCCAATTTGTGAAGACCCGGCCTGTAGCCAGACCTTTGTTTATTTGAAAGAAAAGCACTTTTAATACAGAAGTAATTCATAATGGGATAATCACGGGTATCTACCTGGCATCTTTCCAGCCCCTGAGTAATTTCTCACTTCTGTAATCACGTCCTAAGTTAGGCAAGTCAAAGCTCGAGATTCTTTCCTAGGAATTGTTTGTGCCGTTGATCTCGGAACAAACTCTTCATCTTCAAGGCAGTCTTCAGTTGTCAGGAGCAGGTTACATCTTTTAGCAGCCAAGTCAAGCTTTCGATCTGTCCGTGTACCCTTTGGTAAAGCGGACCTGTGATCCTGGTGTAGGCATCTGGCGGTGATCTGTTTATTCTGACGTGAAGCAGCCACAGTTCAGACTTCCAAGGTGATACGAGATATCCCAGGTGTTCACCTTGTTCTTTCCACGTTCATTTCCAACCAGAATTAAAGCGTGTGGAATTTAGAAGCAACATCAAGAGGAATGCCCAGAGTGTTGCTAATTAAAGGTAAAATGTGACTGAGAAGTCCCTCTCTGCCTTTTCAGATCCTGGCACTCGTAGCAGTCAGAAAAGCCATGGACTACCTCTTCTCCCAGCATGACTTAAGCTTTCTTGATGACGTCATTCCAGAAAAGGACAAGAAAAAGAAAGAGGACGAGAAGAAAAAGAAAAAGAAGAAGGGCAGTATGGACAGTGACAATGATGATGTAAGGAGCTTTCTGCTCGTGTCAAATTACTCATTTCTAGCTAGTTAATCGTGGGGGTGGTCCATGCCCCTCCCCAGCTCTGGGGCTGGGGGTTTCCCAGCCTCTCATGAAGCCAAGCAGCTCTATCTTTTGCTGCTGCAGCAAATGGGCCCCAACGAAAACTTCTTTTCTACACTGCCTTCACTTTTCCAGAAGTCACCAGCCTGCGGTAGGTGGTACTTGCATTGCCAAGAGTGAAATCATGCTGTCCACCAGACCCCTAGATACCTGCTGAGATGTCATGCCCTTTCCTAGGATGCCTTTCATCACCCTGCATCATTCATCTCTTCCTCCTCTGCCTCTCTCCCCGTCATTGTCTTTTACATTTTAGGAGGAGAATGGTTTTCGCCAGCAGCTCTGTTACTTCTGAATATATTCCGGTTCTTTTTTTTTTTTGGATATTTTTTAATTACTCTTTTGAAAAGCACAAAAAGCTGTGACTTGTCGTATTGCAGGAAAGGCTGCTTTCTGTTGCTGATACTACCGACCTCAATATTTTCAAAGCACACCTGCCCTTTGGCAGTGTACTCTTTGGTCCTACCTCAGGTTGCAACACGCCCTAAAATAGTGAAATATAGCTGCCTATGCCATTACTAAGCAATGACCTGACTAAACCAGATCCATGTGCCTTAGACCGTTCTATTTTGTACTGTATATATGATACGAGAACATGTAATCCCTGTGCCTTTAAAATTCTCCTACCCAGGTCTAGCATCAACTCAAATCCTATAAATTTATACTGAAGTGTTATATAGCACTTGTTAATCCTTTATGTGAGAGCTATGTAACACCTCTGTAGGTCTGTGTTAGAGGCAACAAAGTCAGGCTGTTCTGATGAGAAAATATGCAAAGTACTTTCTGTAAAGCCCAAGTAGAGCGTGTACACTGCAAGATACAAAAAAAAAATAGGAATTTCTTCAGTGAGGTTGCAGCGTTGTAGGAGGCAGCCTGGATCCACACCGTGTTACACCAAACCGAATCCCCGCTGGGAAGATTGGCTCTTATTTCAGACAGCGAGCTCCCCTTCCCCATCGTTCTTCTAGTTCCTGGGAGGCTGAGGGTTTCCTTCGGCTGGTCACTTTGTGCAAACCGAAATGGGAGCGAACGCCTGTAGTGAGCAAAGGTTTGACTCCATCCCCTCCTCTTGACTGATTTGAATCCAGCAGCATTGTATCCTGAGGCACGGCTTCCGTATCTCCAGTATTTTTTAAGCTATCTCCTCTCTTCTCAGGCTTTTCATGAGTATCAGGTACAGTAACTGTTTTAATGGGTAAGAGAATTCATGCAAAATGCTGGTTCTTAACTCTTCTTGGGTTTGTTGGGGTTTGTTTTTTTTTCAGCACTTGCTTTTACCAGCTCCCTGAATGAAACGCACTTGACATTGTTGGTTTGATTATTTTTCACCCTTTCCCTTCCAGAAATACGCCCCTGCAAAGTCAATCCTGTGGGATTTGGCAGACAATACACCTGTCAGAGCTCGGCTAAGAGGCTTCCTGGGCGTTGCTAACGCGTGTGGTGTTAGATAAATGAGCCCAGCAAAACCTGGTGTTGGTGCACACTGCTCTCGGCACTAGTCAGGGCTCACCTAATGTTCTCGCTTGGGAGTTTGCAGTCAGGGGCAGCGAAAAAGAAGCTGCAAAGAACCATTTTCAGTGATCTTAGCACTTTTTCCCACCAGCTTGGCTTTACAAAGTATGAAGTAGTGCAACCAATCGCTGTGTTTGCCTACTGAAAACTCAGGCACCTTGATTTTGTCTCGCAGTTTTGTCTCAAAAAACGCATGACCCAAGAAAGGGCAACGTGGTTGTATAACATCTCGGGCTAGTATATTTAGTTTCAGAGTCAGAAGTTTTCTATACGGGTCTCTGCTCACTTTTGGTGCATTTTTGTCAAGTGCAGATCCTTCTCTTCGTTTTAGAAGGTGAAGTTTAAAGCAGAGCCTGAGCATCAGCTTTGCTGTTGCACAGACCTCTGACATTTAGTTATTAGCCCTGAAATGGTGATATGTTACCCAGCTCTTAAGCTCTACATACATATTGGCCCTTGACAGGCAAGGAGTTTTGGGGTCATTTTATTTGCCCCAATGCTTTTCTGCCACCTCATCCTTATGTGGTACCAAATAGCACTCGGTGTTACTGGTTTGACTGAGGTTGCTTGATTACCAGGCTTATCCTTCAGCCTCATAAAAATATTCCTGAGGAAACATTTTGCTACTTCATTACGAGAAGTTACTTGGATTTTAAAAAAAACAAAGTGATTCCAAGTACCTTCCACCATGTAAATCCTGCTGGTACCCAACCGTGGGATCTGGGACTGTCCAGCTTAGGGAGCCTCTGCCACAGAGTGTCTGGTCTTCCTCCTCGTGGAGCAGTTGGGTAGAAATAAGGGGTATGAGAGAAATCTCAGCGGGACAGCACATTGTGTCGAGCTTTCACCAAAGCCAGGACCCAGCTATTTCTGCCTACGAACGTGTTTTCCATCTGTATTTCATGCAGCTGACTTCTGGCTGAATTGGATGGTGTGTCAGAAGCTGGTGGCAAAGGAGCGGGTGAGGTGGGGAAAAGGGAAAACAACAATTCCTCGAGGCTCCTCTTTCAATCCGTTTTACTTCCATAGTGTGAAAGCAGAGGGGCAGTGGGGTGCAGTGGGGAGCCGGTGGAAACCAGCAGGCAGCTAAGCTGGACGATGCTTTTACTTTTGTTTTTTCTTCTTTTCTTTCCCTCGTTCCTACAGAAGCTATATGGAGGATAATTTTAATTTGTGGGAGACGATACGAGAGAGAGCAATGAAAATATTCTAAGACTTTTTACACATTTCTTTCACAGTCCGACTGCCCCTACTCAGAAAAAGTCCCAAGTATTAAAATACCAATGGACATCATGGAGCAGGAACCTTTCCTAAGTGATAGCAAACCTGCTGACAGTGAGTAGAACTAACCTCTTGCATGCCTGCTTGACTCTGACTTGCAGTACAAAATATATAGATATTTAGAGTGTTTTTTTTTCTTTTCTAATTAAAAAACCCCAAAGCTTTCCTATCACTTGAGAAGTACTTTTTCTTTCTCTTGTTCTTCTTTTTTCTTTTTCTCTCTTCTTTTAATTTCCAGGCCTCTGATATATGACAGATTTTGTGAGTGTTTTTACTTTGCTCGTTATAAACTTGTTGTTCCTTCTGGTGCCTCCAGCTTAAGCACTTCTATCCAGCTACTAACAGGTCTCCTGGCCTCTCCCTCTTTCCTCTTCTCTTTTCTCACCTTTCCCGTTTTGTGTTTATTCCACTGATGGTTTGATTTCCTTTTTTCCTCCGAGCCTAGTGTTCTGGATTTGCAGCAGGTCTAAAACACATCGCTGTCCCATTACTCTTTGTTTCCTGAGGTGCCAAGCAGCTGCAAAAAACAGCGCTTAAAAGAGTAATTAAGCTTATCCTTGATCTGCACTGGGCATTAAACTGACACGGCAGTGATCAGTTGACCATTAACTTATTCCCTTCTTAGGTGATTTGCTTTTGTGCTGTGCTGTTTCTTTTTAATTTCTTGCATTAATATCCGCACTTGATTATGATGATCTTCATTTTCAGTCATTTTCACTCTTCATGTTATTGTCTGTTAAGTGAGGAGCGGGGTATAACAACTGACCTTAGCTTTTTGCATTGACTTTCTGAAGTTTAGTTCTCTGAGCGATGGGTGCCATCTGGAGAGAAATACACTCTTATGCTGTCAGGCAAGATAGGAGAAATATTAACGATAGTAAGAAATTAGGATGGCTCCAAGGCTGGTGGTTTCTAGGAGTAGGACCTAAACCCACAGATCTTTAGATCCCTAAACTGTCATTTGAGTTTAAGAGCTGGCACCTAAGTCCTTGCCTTTTGGAGACATTTAGATACCTTAGGCAATCCCCAGCGTTGCTCTGTGTTTTCCAGATACCGGAACACTTAGGGATTGGTGTTATAAAACAGAGCCAAAGAGGAAGAGTATTTAGATATTCTCAGTGTTTTGCTGATAAGCAAAACAAGAGGCACCACCTCCTCATTTGTCCCTGAAATACCTTCATGTGCTAAAAACAAATTGCATCCTACATGTTGATACATGGGATTTTGTGATCCGATGTGCTGTTTTCAACAGCTTCAAGATGAAATAGTTAAGGAGAAGTTAATTCAGCCGCAGACCTGTTTGTTGGAACGCCCTTTGAGACACCACGGGGTGAGCCAAGCAGTAGTCGATTCACCTATTTGGACATTTTTATCATCCTGTGATTGATTGACTGGGTTTTTTATTAGAAACAATGCCAACCAAAAATAAATAATAATAATCAGGTCCTTGGACTAGAAAAAGTAGCCAGAATCCAGCAACGCTGTGGTTTTGTCCTTGAATGTGAGGGTGCTATGCAAACCAAAGTATCTGGCTGATAATGCTACAGACATTTAACTTTCCTTCAGCGCTAGCAGCAAGACTAGGATCATTATTAACCAAGGGTAACACTTCCCCAGGCTGGGTCAGGAAAAGAAAGCCTTGACAGGCAACAAGCTATCTATTTTCTGGAGAGGAGGTTGGGTGAGACAGCGAGGAGAACAGGGTAGCTAAAGAGGTGTAGCTAAAAGGTTAAGTGTCATGCCCCAAAGGTAGTAAAATTTTGGGAAATGAGTCTCTTGTTCGGGCTGGGAGTTCAAGGAGTTGTATCTTGGAGGAGAAAGAGGAGTATTTTTATTGCCAAGCTGTTAAATTCATCTGGCAGGCAAGTGAGCAGTAAGAACGCTTTGCAAAATAGGCGAGAGTACGCTGGCGAAACTGAGGCTGGGCTTGAGAAGCCGTGGGTGCTGCAGGCAATGACAAACAAGACTTTTCTTCCCAACAGGAGAAAAATCACCAACATTCCTTGAACGCCATACGTCGTGCTGATACGATTCCTTTCCTTCAGTCACACGCCATGCCAAGGTAAGCACCCCAAAAAACGCACTTGGTAATGATTCCTCAAAAGCATCTCGGCTACCCCTCAGTATACCCAAAGTCAACAAGGCAAAGTTTCTGGTACCCTTATAGAAAACTCTTTGAGAACATTCCCTCCAGAGGTTTGCACCATCCCAAATTGATTTCCTACAAAAAAAGAGAGACAGGCAGTCGGAGAAATGTGCTGTCACGTTTCCCTTCAGTCATGTAATGTGATATTGCAAAGAGGAATTAATCCTTTTTCTTGTGTCCATGCTGGAAAATAGAGTAAATAATAACCTTAAATTGCAGCAAGGAAGAGTTAAGTAACATTTCCTCAAAGCTCAGCCCCTTGAACCTCCCAGCACCAGGGCTCAAATTTGGACCAAGGCAGCAACAGTCCTCTGAAGTGTCAAAGAACTAACTCCTGGGAGTGTAGATACAAGGTGTGTGAAATTAATCTCAGTGGCTACTATCAGACTGTTTCTGAGGCAGTTCCCTGCGTGTTCCCACAGCTCGGTGTGAGCCATGAGTACTGGGTGCTTGGAGCTCCTCAGTCCCTGAAATGGATGGTTTTACCTCCTGACATGAGCAGTGCTCAGACCAGCTCATTAAAATTACCCTACGGGATGTATGGGCCTTATCTTAAGACCAGCTGCGTATCAGCACTGCCTGCCAAGGTTATTTACTTGGTCCCTGTATGCTGGCACTTTGGGAAAGCTGTGTTGTAGGAGGTGAGGCGAGGAACTGATACTGGGAGTCGAGCGTTTATTCCGTTCCCAGCGTGTCCCAGTAAGTCCCAGGATCTGCAGTTTCCCCAGTTTATGCTGGTTGCCCCTCTCTGTTCTGTTTGTAAATTGCTGGGTTTCCTTTGTGAGATGTCGCCGGTGACTTTATTTCAGGCTTGGCCCCCTGCAGAGCTGTGCTAGCAGAAGTCCTGAGCACGGCAGGGTGCGCTGAGAAGCCCGGAGGTAGTCCCCGCTCTTACCTTGTCTTTCTTTTCCTTTGCAGCCCTCCACGAACTCCAGTAAAAGTTGTGCCTCAAATTAGAATAGAACTTGAGCCTGAAGACAATGGTTATTTCTGGAGGAGCAAGGGAACAGAAACTACTTTGTAATTTGTCTGTCTGTTAAATCTTTTTCTTGGAATTTATTTTGTCACTAGCCAAATATTAAAATGCTCTCTGCTCCCCGCCTGCATAGGTAAATGAGACTCCCCCTCCCCGCGCTGACCCCCAAGTCCTCGTCCCCCTGCCCCATCTCCTCCACCCCCTCCTCCTCGCCCCGTTTTCCCCAAGGCTGACCAAGACTCACCTCGCCTTCTCTGTCGTTCCGACGCGTGTGTCTCTGCTGATGGCGAGCAGAGGGCAGAAGGATTAAGGAGCTCCTTCTGCGCCTGCGGGAGGTGTCGGGGCGCCGGCGTTGCTTTTTTTGGAGTTAGGAACCAGTTGGTTGTTCGTCTCGTTTGTCGTCTGGCAGAACAAAAACTGACCTCCAGGCTGATTGGATGTCCTGCTCACACTGCTCGAAGATGCTGGAAAGTGCTGCTAGTCCTCAGCTGCTCTTAAAGCCTGTGCTTGTAGTTGGCAGAGGAAGGAAAAGGAAAAGGTACTTCACTCCCAGCACAGAGAAACCATTGCCATCGTTGTAGCACGTGTTCTGAAATGTCCCTTTCCTATGCAAGTTTTTTTTAAAGAAACACTTTAATGGACTTAATCCGTCAGGTACATTGAAGAGTGTTATTTTCCTAGATTATTTTGTTTAAATTATGGGGGCCTAACCTACGACTTTTTTTTTTTTTTTTTGGTCAATTTTTTTAACCTTTTTTTAATTACTGTAAAGAAAAATGAATTTTTCCTGCAGCAGGAAACATATAGTTATGAGTAGTTCTACCTCTTATTTCTAGATGCCAGGCTTTCTGTAAAAAAAATGTGTTGTACCACATATAATGTGATTTTTACAAAAAAAAAAAAAAAAGAAAACGAAAAAAAAAGAAAAACAAAACCGCAACACCACATCACAATCTCCGGGACATGGCATAGGGCTGGATCAGTTTGATTAACACCTTCTACTCTGAAGCATCTGTTTTACTTAGGGTTATATTTGTGGTTTTATTTTAAATTTATTTTCTATGAGCAATCTAACTTGACCATGAAGGAGACGGGGTGTAACTAAATCTCGTGTGATCTAGGAAGAGTCTTTTCTGTAATGGTGGTAAGCGAAATACCGACTGTCTGCTGGCGTCAGCGGACAGATGCTGATTGTATTCATGTCATTGATTTCCTACGCGGCATTGTTCAAATTCCTTCTTTTGAAACATTGGGGGTGTGTATACGCGAGAAGACCCCCGGGTGCAATGATGGCGCAAAGGAGGAGAAAGACGTCCGAAGATGACCCGCCGGGACATTCATCCCAACACTCATGCTCGCCGAACATCTACAGCCTCTAGCTGGATTTGCAGGATTTAGCCTAAATCTTCACTGTCCATCGGTAGCTGGTGCCTCAGCACCAGGTGGGCTCGGCGTGGGCACCCCTGGTTGTAAAGCGGGAGAGCAGACGTCACCTTTGGAGAGAGAGTTTTGTCTCTGTAGCACGTGTGCGTGTGTACTTGTGTGTGCATGTCAACGTGCACAATGGGAGGACTACGTGTAACACGCTGAAAGCTTCATCAAAAAAAAAAAAAAGAAAAAATGGAGGAAAAAAAGCCCAGCTGGAGGGCTAATGCCCCAATGGAGAGGAATCCTGCCGCAAAGGACAGGCACGTCGCTTTTGTCTTTGCGAAACCAAAGTCCCTGGTGGTTAAGAAGACGGAATTTCGCGATGGTGCTGAGATGTTATATGCCAAATTTTAGCATCTACTCACTCTTAGCAACCTGGTTGGAGCAGATGATCCTTGAGGTCCCTTCCAGCCCGGTATCCAGTGATTCTATGAGCAGAGCTGTTCTTTTCTCTGGCAGATGTGCTGCAGAAGCAGCTGGCCACCTCACTTGCCCTCAGCACTTGGGCAGAA